CGGGTCCCCCCCCCCCCCCCCCCCTTTTGTCACTCGAACGACCCTCACCCAACAGTCGAGCGAGTGAAGGAAGTAACCCCCCCCCCCCTCCACCCCCTCCCCCTTGTTTCGTATTTCAAGATCCATTATCACAAAGACATGGACAAGTACAAGCTGAGCACGATGCCGAACATGCCCCCCGAGAGGGCCTCCGCGATCCTTAACGACCCCACGTGGACGAAGGGGGTGTTCTTGAGGGACCCCACGGAGCGGCTGCTCTCCTGCTTCCTGGACAAGGTCGTGCACAGAAGGTGATTGATTGGTGGTGACAGCAGTAGGACATTTTTCGAGACTGATCGTTTGTTGTTTAGGTACACGTAAAGTGACGAGGTCGTGCACATAAGGTAGTGGATGGTGACAGCAGTAGGACTTTTTTCGAGACTCGGTTGTTGTTGAGGGCAACGTAAGAGTGTTGCGGCGTCGTCTTTCACCGTTTTTTCGGGGGAGGGGGTTCTGTATCCTGGGTCCTAGCCTTCTTGTTTGGGTTCGCTTTGGTGTGTTGTTTCGTTGTGTATGTGCACCAACGCTGGTTAAAGGGTGCGATTTTGGTGACACAGCAGCAGTAGCGAGCCGCCCGCTCAACAGTGGCCATTCCTGCCCTTGCTGACACTGCTTGATGCCTTTCGTTTTTTGACAAGATTTTTGTAGTGCCAAACAAGGGGTTGACTGGAGGGGTCGAATGCTCTAGTTTGTGTTTCGTTCTTCTTCCCCTTGGCTCATTTCGTGTAGCATCACCTGCCCTGCACGCACTGTTTTTTAGTTTGATCTTTTGCTGGACTGGCTGTGGAAGTACAGGCGCCAGATGATCACGTCTACAGCAGTAGTTTCCACCTGAGCTACGGTCCACAACACCCCCGGCAGCATGAAAACAGCAAGAACAACGACGATGTTTGTTTGCTTTTTTTCGTTCTCGTGACAGGTCGTACAGCGTCAACGTCTTTAAAGCCGAAGAGGTGCTGTCGTTCGAGAAGTTTGTCGACCTCACCTCCAAGACCGCGAAAGCCAGGTACGTTCATTCATCACCGAGCAGAGCCAGTTATCCCCCCCCGTACTCCTTCCGGCAGTGCGAGGTCAACGGTGAAACGACTACGGCATGCACGGCTATGAGTATACCCCCCGCGAAGTTCTTGACGCGATGGATTGGTCCACTCTTCAGAGTGTTTTTGATGTGTTTGTTTTCTGGCAGTAAGACATTTTGGCATTCCGGTGCTGCGGGCAGCTTTTGCTCGGTGCTGCATGCCGAAAACATCAGCGAGAGTGTCTGCGCTTGTAGACTACGCTAGCGAGGTAGGGTCCTCGCTAGCCATTTTCTCTCCATTTTCTTATTTTACCTTCTCCCGCTGCTGCTGCTTCCTGCGAGCACAACAGCCAGCACAGAGGGGCGGAGGGGGCAACGCACGACGGACAAATATCTCTCTTGTTGTCTGCCTGGCGCACATGCCGCCTCCCGTCAAAACCACACCGCTCGTGTCGTCAGCAGTCAGCAAGCTGTCCTCCCAAGCAGCGAGAGGCGAAGGGCTTCGGGACCAACGACGGCTGACACTTCTTGCCATGCCTGGGTATGCTCTCGCCTATGCTCGGCTTGCTTGTTCGCAGGCTTCAGAAGGACTACCCCGGGGGCAACCTTGGCCTGACCAGACGAAGCAACCCGCATTGGAGACCCCAGGTGAACATTGCTCCTGAGTTGGCTGGCGTGCGGTTATGTGCACCACACTGAGGTGCGCGCTTCGGGGGTCGGTCTACTGTAGGAGATATTTCAACGGGGTTGTTTACCGCGTGCTGTCTCGCGAGCGTGTTGAGAATGTTCCGTGCGGCCAGCAAGGGCGGGGGGGAGGGAATAGATAGCACGTTCGCCAGCGGCGGCGCGCGTTGTAGCAGGAGGGGAACGGGGTGTGTATGCGTGTCCGTTCTATAATAGAGGGGGCGGCAAGAACGAAAAAGGTGCTGTAACAGGCGGGGAAAACCGTTGGCGCACTTCACGGTGTAGCGAGAGTGCTGATTCAGCTCTTGGGCGAGACTGGCGGTGTCCCACGAGAGAAAACAAGAGGCAAAGCAAAGCAGCCAGATGAGCAATAGATCTACAAGGTGTAAGATTGGTGAAGACCAGTGGCGTTGTGCAACGTTTTTGCAGCAAGAAGGGCGGTCGCCGAACACATGTTTTAGGAGAAGGGAACCGCGACTCATCTCGATTGTGACGCTTGGCCAAAACCAATGAATCGCAAGGACCACAGCTACCAAACACAGCAGTACCCTAGGCGGTTCTGGCGCGACGCTTGCGGGAAGACCTCATTCCACTCGTGCAATTTTCACCTATTAAAGGCTGCTTTTTACCTCTGAACCGCTGACACTTTCCGAGGGGCATCGAAGTCGACAGAACCTCTGCGTTGCCTTCGAAGAATGACCCCGTTCTTCTGGTTCACCCTTGTGAAACGTATGTAGCCTGCGCCGGCGAATAAACGGCGTATCGCTCCGTCCCGACATTGTAGTGCAATGGGTATAACGACAATTCACGGCATGCGTTTACGCGAGTACACCCACGACCCTCGATACTCAGTTGTTCTTCGGGCTGGACAAGTTCCTCCCGTACTTCGATTTCGTGGGAGACTTCAAGCACGTGCAGGAGCACTCGGAGGAGTTCCTGAAGCGGGCCGGGCTGTGGGAAAAGTTCGGCGCGTCCGGTTGGGGCCGTTGGGGGCAGGCGGCGTTCTTCCAGAGGTGGGGGAAGGGGGATCCGCAGGCTTCCTTTTTTTGGACCGCCTGCGCGGGAAATGAAGTAATATGAGGAAATACAACAGGGAGGGGGGGACGCAGACTTCCCCGATTGCATTCTTTATCCAACACGTTTGCTGAATACAAGAAAGCTGTGAAGGCTACTGCTTTTTTTTGTGTGCCTTTTGCAGCAAGGGGCGGGGTGCCACGTGTGCAAATACTCTGCCTCTCTTTGTGTGAACGCTATTAAATAGACACCGCCACAGATGACACGCTGTCGTATTTGGTGTGGTGGTAAGACACTGCTATTCCGACGTATTTTCAGTCTACAGGTCTTGCTTGGTCTCGTTGCTTTCAATCTCTGAATTCGTTGTTTCCTCGTGTGCCCTTTTTTCTTGCGTGTCCACTCTCAGCTATTGCTCCTCTGCTGCTTCAAGTATGACGCTGCTTCAGAGCTGCTATTTGGCCGAGGAGTAAGGAGTAGTGCAACTATCACCGCAGCTGTCGTCGCAACGCTAGGGCTAGGTAGAAATGGTGGGTTGTGTAGGTATATTTGGCAGAGTCAGATCGTTGGTCAGATCGTTGATGCAAACAGCATAGTAGGAGTAGGAGTAGTGCAACTAACACCGCATCGCTAGGGCTAGGAAGTGGTTGGTGGCGTAGCTATATTTAGCAGAGTATCAGATCGTTGGTGCAGATAGAAGCTTTGAAGCAGCGTCATTCTTGAAGCAGCAGAGGAGCAATAGCTGAGAGTGGATACGCTAGAAAAAAGGGCACACGGGGAAACAACGAATCTGAGATAGAAAGCAACGAGACCAAGCAAGACCTGTAGACTGAGAATACTACGGAACAGCAGTGTCTTTTTCACCACCTGTCGACGCCAGCGGCTGGGCTCTGTGTCAACATGACCCAAGAGCCCGATTATTGGGTCCTCTCGGAATATTTTTCTCAGGAGTAATTTTTCTTGTACTTCAAAAGGAATACAACCGGTATTAACCCCCGTGATTTTCATCTTGGCGACCCTGTACCATTGCTGCTTTTACTACTACTGGTATTTATCAGTGACAACCTGCTGCGGCTGCTGCTGCCACTGCTGCTGCTGCTACTGATGCTGCTGCTGCTGACAAAACACCATTCCTGCTTTACTCCCTATCAATGACAACCTGCTGCAGCTGCTGACAAAACTGATTTCTACCTTTTTTTTTCTTTTTTCTGTCATCCCGACCCACTAACCGCACTGCCTTTGCCTACGGCTGGCAGGTCCACCGTCCGGGGCCACGCCACTGGGAGCCACGACTCCTTGGGGCAGTACTATACGCCCGCACTATTGGCCTCCGTGCGAGAGGCCTACGCCGACACGGACTACAAGCTGCTGGCCAGCCTCGGGTGGTGGAACGAGACCGAGATTTCACCGCTCCCGCCATAGCCATACGCGAAACGCGTATTTTGTAGGTTTTCTGTTGTTCAACAACGCTGCCGCTGAAATCTGATTGGCCTAACGTACTCATGTTTCGCGTGTTAGACTATTGACCACGCGTCCTCGAGAGGACGCGGCATTGGGGTGAATGTGGGGATGGTTGTTAGACCTCGTGGTTGTGTGGAGCCATTGTAGATGGCCTACTAGTTCAACCTTGTTGATACCTGCCACCACGTCGTTTCATTTTGGGAGCGCTAGGCGCTGGAGATTGAATGGTCGAGCGCGTTTCGTGCCAGACACGCGAGAGTCAACTCGCGTTCGTAGCAGGGCAGAGGGAATCCCGATTATCCGGGGGTCCTTCCGTGGAGTCTATTTAGTTGTGGTGCCTAGAGCGAGCGGCCCTCATGTGCAATCCGCTAGCCCTCGTCGCGTGCTACTCTACAACTTCCTGCCCTCCCGCTTTAGTGTTCATACGTTCTGGCGTCCCCGGGGGTACCTAGGTTTTGATTGCGGGGTATGTGTCGTTGGCGGTATTACGTGTTGCCTATATTGTTTTTGTGCTTGTGTAACCTGTTATTTATTTATTTTTTTTGTGGCGTTTGTCCGGCGAGCGAGTCCGACGGCCCTGGCGATGCGGGAACGAGACTTCTGTCTCGTCTCCTATTCTCTGTCTGTCGAGACTAGGAGCGCCTCGATACTGTAGTACCGCAGTGCCGTTCTTAACCATGTTGCCAGTTTCACTTGTACCCTTTTGCTTGCCCTGTGTTCCATGATTGGAACCTTTTCGATACCCTTGGTACGCATCAGGCTTCCGTGAAAAGTAAGTGTCGTGGCTATCTCTGTTGGCGTGGAAGGAGACATTTTCTCCGTGCGGGTTGTGGCACCTGCGCCTCCTCTGTTCGTTTCCCTCCCAAGTTCCCCGTGCCTTGCCACAGCGTTGAGATCGCGCCGCACCCTCCTAGTTGGTATTGGATCGGACTGTGGGAGCACTATAATTCAGCACACCTTGATTTACCTTGGTCTCGAGAGTTTGGCATGGTACCTTTGCACTGGCGTTTTGGCCGCTGGTATCCGTGCTGTTCGTGGTTCTTTTAGCGTGCATTTGGTAGGTTTCAATGTTTACATGTTGTTATGCATAGGATGGCCATGGGTGGGTGCGTTGCGTTCTGTGCACGTGTTGTTACTTTTTTGTTCGGACCGCCTTCTTGGCGAGATAAATAATAAGTTAATGAGGAAATAGAACAGGGAAGGGGGGCGCAGACCCTTCCCTAACCCTAACCCAATGAACCCAACTTCCCCGATTGTATTCTATTTAGAAAGTAAACATCTCACAGAAAGACTACCCGTTCGAGATACTGTATCCAACATTTTTACTTAGGTACAGCAGTAGTCGAAATCCTCTGCAGAGTTTTTTTTCTTTTTTTTTTTCTTAATATGACACAACGAATCCATCTCTATCATAGAGTCTGAGACAGATTAGCAATGAATTCATAGCGTCAGAAAGTACCTGTATGTCTACGATTTCCCAGACAGCATATAGGGACATCTCCCCTGCGGGTAACAGGATCAACAAGACAGTTTGGTAGCTGTCTTGTGTGTCTCATATATATATGTTATGTTGGGAAGGTGCAGAGGATATGTGTTAGGTACTGGTCGGGCGTTTTGTGAGGTTAATGTTTTTTTCGCGCTCGCCGATTTATTGCTGTCGGTGTGTTTTGCGCGCGGGGCCGGGCCGGGGCCTCCCTCCCTCTCCGCAGTGCTTCGTTGGGCGTGTTTTATTTTCGGCATCGACCGCACCAACCGGCTGACCATTTAGTTTCACGCCAGCGCGAGGTCGATGACAACTAACTATCAAGATTCGGGAGCACGTTTTTTGAAACTTCCAGTTTTAGTCTATTCATCCTTCCAGAATATATATATATGCGCTTTGTGATGAGCTATAGGCTACAGTACTTTCATACTATAATGCGCAGTAACTAATGACGGGTGTGTGCGTCCTCTCTTCTCTTGGTTGGTGCTGATGCTCTTCTCCTCTCTCTCGTGAACAGGTCTTTTTTCGCCTGCCGCCTTGGCCGCCGCCGAAGGGACCTCGGATTCACTTGGCGTAGGATGTTGACTGAACATTTTTGATATTAAGAAATGGGCTTGCTTTTTTACCAAGAGCAAGAGCCAGACGGAGAGAAATGTGCAGGCACCTACCGTCTATGACTCAAGATAACACACCCGCTGGACCAATTTTCAAAGCTCGATTACGCCACGACTAAGAGCTTCAACGCCACCGTTTTCCGCGCTGTGACTCTTTCTGCTGTCGAGAAATCGAGATTTAAAAATCGGTCCAGGGGGTGTGTTGTCTTGTGTCATTTACGGTGCCTGCGATCTGTCTACTACAACACCGATTTCCGATTTCTTAGCTCGATCGATCACATGCTCCACAACAACCACAAGCTTGCACCAACAACGAAAATGAATAGTGGTTTTCGAAACATCTCGTTGAGGGCTTTCCGTTGATGTATCGGGATCTTTTGTGCACCCACTTGGTTTTAGGTTGTGCAGCAATCGAGCTTCGAAAGTCGGTCGAAGAGGGGTGCCATCTCTACCGCCTATTGCCGAGGGTCATCAGGAAGAAGTCAACAACAGCAGTAGCAGTAAGTAGCAACTGCAGCGAGCCGTGGTAAGTAGTTCCCGGGCATTAATTAACATCGACGGAAGGAATGATGTGCTTGAGAAGAGCCCTGGACAGATGGTATGTAAATCCTTTGGTTTCGGAGCTCAGCCAACGTAGCGTCCGACCATTGGGATTGGGCTGGCTGTTGAATCGATCATTTGCGATGATGGATCGATGATGAGCGGTGCCCCCACCGCATGCCACTGCACATTCTTTTCCCCCCTTGCATTTATTAGTACACCGCGAGCGCAACACGATTCACGGGGCCCCCGACTTGACTCTGGCTCAGAGTGGCTCTAAGGAAACCAGAGAGGCACGCGCCACACCACAGACCACGTCACAGAGTGTGGTCATGCCGTTCACCTGAGGGTCAGGTACAAAGATAGCGCGCGAGACAGCGAGAGAGGAGAGGTGAGGCATCCGACAATGCGCAAATAAGATTTGGTACCCTGACTTCGCAACAAGCTAGAAGACAGGATAAGATGTTGAGGTACCCCAGATGGGCAAGCGGTGTGGTTGCATTGTTGTTTCGACGCTCATTTTCTTTTTTCTTTTTTTGAATGTTCAAAACGCGGGTCTGGTTCGAGCATGCTTTCGCTAGATGGGTAAAGAGCGTTTTCAGCCTTCTGTAGCGCAGGTACTTGGAGAGCAGTCGCGAGTGTTCTCGTCATGTAGCAGACTGAATGGGGGTGCCATCGGTGTTTAGATAGTCTGGCGGTACGTGTAGGGACAAGTTCAACTGGTGGGCTTTGGATCGCGACACCAACACCTCCCTGGCATCAGGAGCACTCTTTCCGCGTCTCCTGTGCTCTATCCGTCGCACACGCCTACAATGCGCTTTCGTACATGTTGCCATATCGAAGAAATCCTATGTCGTCGGTATCGAACGCCGCACATACTTGTCGCGTGCCACACGAACCTTGAAGTTCTTCTAGACGCATCATTTGTGTTCTTTTTCGGCTTGCCACCACGTTTGAAAATTTGAATTTGCATCTCGAGACACAAGAAGCGCTTGGCTCCTGACCGGCTGAATGGCTTCAAACATGTAACACACCGAGAGGCTTGTAGACTGGCGACAGAATGGACGGGATGAGCACACATGCACAATCACACCGAGATGTTTTGCGGGTCACCCGGTTGGGCGGTTTCAGGTACTAGACCAATCAAAGATACACGCTCAGGTGCTCCGACGGCGAGACGAGTTAGACACGTTCCTCGGTCAACTCCCTTCTTGAGGGTTCCATGATATGGTAGATACTTTCGTAGTCCAGAACGGGGCCAAGCGTTTCTTTACGTTGCCGCAAAAAGTGGGTGCTCTAGAAACTAGTGCTGCATCAGCTGCATGAATGTAGTACGTATCATCGATCATCCTCTTTACCTCTTGTTGTTGACGGGCACCGCGCCTCCTTCCTACATCATTTTGTCTAGACTGGTAAATACACATGTTCCTCCCGCACGTCTTTCCCGTCCCCGCACGTCACCCAGCGCCAATAACCCGCCTGCTTAGCCGTAGTACTGCCGTGTCACCAACATCGTCATTATGATGGCGGAGGGTGTCACGGGGGGAGCGACGCCTTCGGTGCCGGCAGCGACAGCAGAGCCACGATCGATCAATAACACCACGCCCGGCGGGGCGGCCTTGTCCCTCGGAAGCGGCGAGTCGGCGGCGGCAGCGGCTGTAACCGCGGGAGGTACCGGAAACAATGGCGAAGGAGGAGGAGGAGTGGGCGCAGGGGGGGCGGAGAGGGCTGCCAAGGGGCAGGTTGCGCTCATCAACGTGGAAGGCATGACGTGCGCGATCTGCGTGGGAATCGTCACTAACCTCTTGGCCAGGTTTGTTTTGTCTTTCGTCGCTCTTTGTGCTGCTGCCCGCGCAATCCGTGCGTTCTTCGCGGACGCCGATCAAACGACCACCTAATTATGACCGACTCTATATTCACCTGCCGTCATACGCGGCTTCCGGGTTCTCTCTGCACCAAACAGCAGGACCGCTTAGCACCCAGTCAGGTACATACCTTTGTTTTTGGAAATCGCACAAGCGTCACCCTGCGTTTTTGACTCGACGAAAGCAAAGTAAGCTCGGTTGTTGCGGAGAATACCTTGGGAATCCCCTCCGCCGCTGTCCCAAAAACGGTTGCCTTCCATTTCCAGTGAGGCCCGGAATTGCCCCGCGTAACGGGAATACTTCTCATTAGACACCTCAAGTCGTTGACGTGGAGAGAAGAGTAGGGTCTATGTGCACACCAGCACGGACTACACACCACACCCCAAAAAATCTACGGCAAGCAGAGAGCTGTGCTGGTTCAACGGAAGGGGGGGCGATTTCGAACGGCTGGTTGTCTCCGCCTCCCCCCGGGGGGGGGAACGCCCTTGCCGGGGTTTCCGAGAGGGGTCCTCCGAAGCATATATTACTAGCGTGTGTCCATCCTGAGAGTAACCAACAGCGAGGAGGGAGCGACCCGGAATGCCAACGCGCGTCCCGGGGTGGCTAACAGACGCGTTTAAAGAGTCCCCGCTTCAGTCGCTCCTTCGAGTCAGCTGTTCATGGCTAGGTTTTCTGGCCGTATGTCCCTGATAAGATTCCCACTTCCACCACACGTCGTGCCCCCCCCCCCACGTGTTAACAATATAATTTTTTTTTCGGGTGCCAGGGTACCCGGCGTGACGAGTTCCGAGGTCAGCCTGCCCCTGGAGAGGGCCACCGTGTACTTCGACTCAGCCGTAACCACCCCTGAACAGGTAGGTGTGTAGTCGGCGCGTGGCATCGATTTGCACCCCGTGATTTCTGTCCCTCCCTACATAGCCCGAGGCTTTTCCCTGCGACAACAGCCTTTTTCTGCGTACATTGCGGCGCGAGGAGGTTTGACGTTGTCTCCTGGAGACTTGTCCTGTGGTTCTTTGCGGCGGCGCTTGGCCGTAGGAGGTTCTGGTCGCTTTGTCTTTGTGCGCGTGGTTGATGCTTTCACCACCTTGGGCCTAACTACGGCCGTCCTCTCTTCTTGTGGCTTGCCAGTCGAAAAGATAATCTGGTCATGAACGATGTGTATACAGCTCACGACGCTATGCCAAACAATGCCGTGAACGTGTCGGAAAAAATCCTGACGAATAGGGAGCTGCCTGTCCACTGTAGGCGTTTCGTCTTTGTTGGGGGGGTGGTGCTGTCGGTCGATCCGATAGGTCTTGCTTGAAATGCAGCCCAGCAGTGTGCTCAGGGAGGAGAATGAATAATCTCGACAACGTTGTTTGGCGTTAGAATGGTCCGGTACTACCCATGTTTACGTTCGTCTGACTGTTTGTTGCGGCACAACCGGTCGCGGTGTCCTATTGACTCACTGGTGATCAGACGCCAGCCTGAATCGGGACACGTCTCATGTGGTTTCCTTCGTATGCGTCTGTGTTCCCGTTGGTGGCCTTCGGCATATTTATTCACGTCTTTTTATGTGTTCTTGTTTTTATGGCCGTTTTGATCGTACGTCGAGGTCAGCTGTTGGACGCGGTGGAGTGCGGGGGCTACGAGGCCAATCTGCACGCCGTAGACGATGACGGCGACACCGAGCTTGTCGACCCCGAAGTGAAGGCAGCCAAGGTGACTGCGTACATATAACGTCTAGCCGGCGTCCGTGCGCGCCATCGGTTTGTGTTCGATGCTGGCATCGACCCATGGCCCAAAGACCGGATGCCATTGGTTGTGTTTGTTGGCATCCATCAAGCCGGCTGGCCAATGGAATTAAGTCGCTCGCTCATTGGGGGCGAAAAAGCGGGAAAAGCCTCGATGGCCACGATCTGTGACCCCAGTACTCCTGGAGTACACTTTTATATACTAGATAAGAAGGGCATCACAGGGGAGGCTAGGTTTTCTCCGGATAGGAGACAACAAACGTTACGAATGCATGCGTGCGTGTTTCTCTATTTTTGGCATCCGGGGGGCTGACCGGCTGACCAATGAAAGTTCGTCAGTCTCCGTGTAGCCATGTAATATCAGGAAAAGCTTGATGGTGTGTGTGTCCAGCGACTTGTGTTTATTTTGCTGTGTGTGCTTCCTCCCTTCGCATCGACCGCGTCATCCAGCTGGCCACCGAAACCACCGTCGCCTCGCTGTGGCCACGACTGTGCGTGTGCGCGCACGCCCGGGTGTGGTTCCTGTTGCCACAGTAGTATCAACCTGCAACGTGCTTCGTGCTTTGTTTCCGCGAGATATCCGGAAGGAGCTACAGCGTGCAACCTCTTGCCTCGCCCCTACATCCCGTCCTTGCCACCTCCGCACTTTTTGTCCTGTTCGTGTTGCCTGTTTCTTGTGGTGGCATGGTAGATGAGAGCGGCGATCAAAAGCGCTAGGAAGGTCTTCTTGGTGAGCCTGGTGTTCTCCCTACCGCTGATGGTGGTTAGCATGGGCTTCCGGAGCAAGGCTAAAGGCGGTCTGAGCGAAGGTGATATTTGGCGGTAGTTTATCAAGTTTCCTCAATTTCCTTCCCCTTCTCTTGCTGTTGCTGCAGCTGCTGCTGCTGACATCTCATGTTGGTGCTGTTGTCGCCGCTGCTCGTGTTGTTGTTGATCGCAACACAGCAAACCAACGCTACCCTTTCCAACCAAGTGTTCCTTGATGCGTTCCACCCTCTATGTCGGCGTTTTTCTCGCACCATATGGCATTCCCCGCTTTTCACGTAACCCCCCTCTTTTTGCCTCTCTGTCGCTCTTGGCTCTCTGCTCTCTGGCTCTCCTTGTTTTCTCCACCTCCACCTCCCTCACCGAACCTCGCTCCGACACTCGAACGGAATCGACAACCACCACGCGCAGTCCTATTCACTCAAGTGGTGCCCGGCCTGTCGGTGCGATCAATAATCGAGTGGGTCTTGGCTACGCCGGTTCAGTTCGGCTGCGGCGCGAGGTTTTACAGGTAATCTTGGCTTTTAACTTGTAACGCCCTGCTCGCGTTTTGGTCGAGGTCTTGGGGCTCAAGCGTGAGCGTGCCAAGTAGAGTCTTGGTCCGGGGGTAGTGAGATGAACCTCAACGCGTTTATCCCCGTGTTCCCGCTAACTGCTGTGCTACCAACACACGCAACACGGGGAGTCCAACACGGGGAGTCAATCGACGGCCAGAACGAAGACTTAGCGTCGATCAACAAGCACCTGCTGTGTTCTGTTGGTTATGTCTACCGGCGTCGCGTTGTCGAGACGTGGAAGCTGTGGTTCTGCTGTGTGTCGACGACCGTGATCGGGAGGACGATCCGAATGCTCGGAGTGAGGGGTACGAGCGCAACAAAGTATGTGTCAATCAGTGAAGCTGCTGCCGCGGGAGCTGACGAGACCTTTGGTCGTTCTTTTTGGTTGTTTTCGGGCTGATGCCGCCGTTTCAGGTCGGCGGCGAAGGATCTGCGCAACAGGGCCCTCGGCATGAACTTCTTGGTTGCGGGAGGCACGACGGCCGCCTATCTCTACAGCGTCGTCCTCGTCCTCCTCGCTGTCTCCACCGCTCAGGTGTGTACGCGCGTACCCTTAAGCTTCCATGCAGGCAGGCAGCACACGCTTACTTCTCCGCCTTGCTGTTGTTGTTGTTGTCTTTCCACGCTAAGAACTGTTTCGATTGGTGCTGAGTACCTCTTCCGAACGTCCGCACTGGTCCAACTGATGCGCACGCCTCTTTGGTCACAGGCTAACCCTCACCTGCCTGCTATACACGCTCATATTTTCTCCCAGGCACACTCGGCGATGCTCTTCTTTGAAACGTCGGGCGTCCTGATTTCGTTTGTGCTTCTCGGGAAGTGGCTGGAGCTGATGGCCAGGGGGAAGGCTTCGAATGCGGTGAGCCTCAGCCGCCGATAAAACCGGATGCATAGACCCACAACGAACGGCTGATACATCTCAGCAGCTCTCTGGAAAAACTTGTCGCGCTGCCTTTCTTGTTGTCGTTGAGATACATCACTCTCTTTATCTCTCTCAACGTTCGACGTTGTGTTTGACCCCCACGGCGCGCGCGCCCGCTTCGCACGCCTCCTTCTGCGCTTTTACGCCGGTCTTCATCTGGGCACCCTTAGCTCACGGTCTCCTCCGCGCGCAAGCCGGGCGCCCGGATCGGTTCTACGCACTATTAGTATTATTATTTTTGCTGGCCCACTGCCGGTCGCCGGAGACAATTGTGCATGCCCCTGGGTACGCGGATTCCCCACCGGACCCCGGCCCGGGTGATCTTGCCTCTCAGAGACTGTTCGAGCTTCGGCTGTAGCGCCCATGACGACGTCCTATGTATGAGCGATTTTGACGGCCCGGTGCCAACACACGGGGCGCCAACGCCAAGCAGTTGGTTCTCTGCTGTTCCCCCCTGCCTGATGCCGATGCTGAGCCGGTCGGCTGCGTACCGCGTCGCTCAAACACGAGAGTCTGCGCAGAGCGAGCGCGCTTCAAACTGGCGTGTCCTGGGCCCTTGTATTTTTCACCAAAGTGACTTCTCGAAACAACATGGATGTCATTGAAGGCTTCATCATACTAGACAATTCACACTGACAAAACAACAACAACCAAAAACAACGACAACGACAACAGGGACGTGTGTCCATGAGAAGGGTTTTCGGACCTGTGTCAGCGCGCCGATCGCCGTGTCGGGAGCAGGCGCTCGGGCTTGGCACTCAGAAAGAAATAGACAACTCCCGCGCATGCAGGAATACGCGTTCCAGCAACGCTTGGTCACCGAAGAGTTCAAATTAGTCGAGTAAGCGTCGTGCGGGTGTCGGCTTGGCAGGTCGGGAAGCTTCTGGATCTCCGTGCGGACCGGGCCGTGCTCGTCTCCGACTGGCCGCTGTGTGAGCTCTCGGGCGAGAAGGACGAGGACGCTTCTGCCTTGGTCGTGGGGGATGTGGTCAAGGTCGTCAGGGGCGCGAAGGTTTGGAGAGCCTTGCTTGGCGTGGTTGTTGTTGTTCTTGTTGTTGTTGTTGTTATTGTTCTTGGTGGTGGTGGTGGTGGCCGTGGGGGTGTTGCATGTGTGCGTGCTTTCCGGTTGTTGGAATTTTCATTAATGAGTTTCCGCGTGTAAAGGGTAAGATCGAAAGACGCCGCTGCGGTGGTGTCGAACTCTCTTGGATAGCACCCCGTTCGGCGACGGGACATGAACGCGCTGCATATTCCACGACGAAATAGTTGAGTTTTGTCCTCGTCTTTTGTTTGCTCCCGTTCTTGACCCTTTTAAGGTGCCGGCCGACGGCGTGGTGTTACGAGGTAACGCTGCCGTGGACGAGAGCATGGTTACTGGAGAGTCCATGCCGGTTCACAAAGAGGAGGGGTCGGAGGTCATCGGTGCGACGGTGAGGCTCAGCGAAGTGTTGTCGTTCATGTTGTGTTGTGTTGTTGTTGTTGTTGTTGCTGCTGCTGCTGAATCTATAGCTTCCTCCACAGCAGTTGTTGGTGTAGTTGCTGGTGCTGGTGCTGGTGCCGCTTTCTTAGTGACATGGTAAACCCCTCCGCCCAATGACAATGCTCTCTTCGGCAGGTGTGCAGCGAGGGCTTGGTGTACATCAGGGTCACCCGCACAGGGAAGGCCTCCGCTCTGCACCAGATCGTCAGGCTTGTCGAGCAGGCACAGGTGGGTGGGTAGCCACAATTTTGCATGATTGCGCTGATTTAATCTCAAGTGGACGTCGCCGGACTGCCTTTGATCGTCAGGCTTGTCGAGCAGGCACAGGTGGGTGGGTAGCCACAGTTTTGCTTTATTGCGCTGATTTAATCTCAAGTGGACGTCGCCGGACTGCCTTTGGTGGGTGGGAAGGAATTTATGGCCTTGGTCATACGGGTCTACATTCCACGATAGACCTTAAGCGGTCTCCGCTTTAAGCAATCTCGGCAATGTTTTGCGTTGCACACGTACTACATAGCCCGTGCTAGAACGCTGCTGTTTTGCAAGTACGCTTGGTAGCCCCGCGGTCGCAGTCCACTCGTCCTGATCAGAGGCATGCCAAGCAGACACACCACATTTTGGCGCAAGGGGACACTTTGGGGGTCTCAACGGCGTTGACGTGTGATCCATGTCATCTCTCAAGAGTGACCTGACAATCGGACTCTTTTCGGGCGAATTGTGTTACTGCTCCCGGGGCGGGGGCGCTATCCTGGCAGAGATGGCCGCTTCTGACGGGCCTAGGACGGCATGACGGCGTTCATAAGATGCGATCATTTCGGATTTTTAGGCGCCGTTGAGACGCGCCGAGCTTTTCTTCGTCGTCGCCATTCAGAGGGCCGCCACAAAGCTTGCAGGCAGCGTGAGCGACAACAACCGCAGCCGCGCAGTCGCAGGCGCAGTCGCAGCATTTTCAAAACCACACCAACACCAACGCAAGCATTGACAAGAGAAGCCCCAACCACAATTCGAACAACCCTTGTGCCCCCCGCTGCCCTTAGCTTCACCCCCCCCTCCGGCACCCCTTTTGCCGCACGCACGCCGCCGAACAGGGATCGAAGGCGCCCATCCAAGAGGTCGGCGACCGTGTTGCGGCCGTGTTTGTGCCGTGCGTGGTGTGCCTCTCGCTGCTTACCCTCGTCGTCTGGCTTGCGCTAACCATGTCCGGCGCGGTTCCTGAACACTGGTACCGGGACCAGCCCGGGAACCCAGGTAACTCACTCAGTTGGGTTTCAGTCGAGGTTGTGACGCGTGCATGTTGCCAGTCAGGGACCCATTGCCGTGCATGCCGTAGTCGTTGGGTCGTTGACCTCGCATCCCTTTAGAGCCGGGATGGAGCACGCCGGGTTCTCACCGCCAGCCAGGGGGAGGGGTAAATCGACGTGCCGGGTGATCGGTGTGAGCTTTGACTCGTTTTGCTGTTGAAGGTTGTATGATCCCTTTTTTAGCTGATAGTGTGTATGAGAAGGTGAAGGTAGTTCCAGCTTCGACCGCAACGAAGTTGTTGGTATGCCTAAGTCGATCGGCGACGAGAAGTATGCACCTGTAGAGGTGCGCAGAAACCATCATGGCCGATGGGTGACATTCAACGATGTGGCGGTTCAGGTGGCGGTTCAGTTGATGGGTTGCAAGTCGCTTGGCGTCCCTGTTCTTTTTCCCGACCAAACGATACGTCGCTCCACCCCACGTTCTACCATCCATCTGCAGGGCCGGCGCTGTTCTCGTTCATGTTCTCTCTCGCCGTGATGGTGATCGCGTGCCCCTGTGCCGTGGGTCTGGCAGCCCCTACTGCCATTCTGGTGAGCCCCATGCTTCCCTCAACACGCTAGGCCGTCTGTATGCAGTTTTTTATTGCTTTTTATTGGCGTCGTCCGCTCTCACCCCCGACAGCAACAGAACCCCTCGTCCTATGGAACGAGGAACGACCTTGTGCACGTTTAACCTGGCGCATCTTCCCTACCTCCGCTTTTGAATTGCGGAGACCGGGTGGGTACCTCGTAAAATCCCTCAAAGTGACCCCCTTGATACGCTGAAACCGACACTAATCCGAACCTATATTTTGGATGCCGTTTCTCTGAACGACTTGGTTCCACGTACCGTTCATCCTTTGCCAGAAAGCTGTGCCCCTTCGCTCTCCCCCCATCCAGCGGCATCAACCTTTGCAGTGGCTAGTTTTCCAAGACCCGGGCGCATCTCCGCGCACCCCGTTGCATACCCGCGCTTCTGTGCGTTTGTTCCGTGCTTGCCCCACCTCGATGCTGTCCACTCCTGTGTTTCCGACGTTGAACCTCAGCGTGTTGCTTAGCGTGCATTTTCATTCGCCGAACAAAAACCGCGCTCACCAACTGACCACATGTAGTCAAAATACAGAACACGTCGCCAACTACCCGTGTAAGAACTTGGTGTACGTTTTTTTACACTTTTTTTATGATCTTGGACCACAACCCGTGTCCTGGATGGTACTCTCAAGTTGCGCGCGTGTGTGCATGATTTCCGCGGACGGGAAAAAAGGTGGGCACCGGAGTCGCGGCGAGGCACGGCGTTCTCGTGAAGGGGGGAGCCGCGCTGGAGCGAGTGAGCGAGCTCAAGAGGGTCGTCTTCGACAAGACGGGCACCCTGACCATGGGAAAGCCGAGGGTGAGTTGCAGGCGACCGGGTTTGCGGTGCGCTTGCTTGAAGGATGCCGAGTGCCAGCGGCTGGTTGGCTGGTTGATGGCACAAGGCAGGAGGACTTGCGGCAGGTCCTGGCGGAGGACGTCTCAAAACCTACCGTGCAGTTGGCTCGTGTTGGCGCATAGGATCGGGGAAAGTTGAGGTCTGGCGCATGCCGTTGTTGGCCGATATCTCGATTCGAATATCGAAGGCCGAGCCACCAACGGGGGTGGCGGCGCGAGCCCAGAACGTTTGGTGGGCGTGAGATTTGGAGTTGCGATGGCCATATGTCTGGATTGGCAAGTGGGTACGTCTTTGTGAGAAATTCCGTCCAGGAAATTGAGCCCTTCCCCCCTTCCTGAAAGATCGCCTGTGTTTTGCTGCACTCCCCCCCAGGCGATGGCGAAGGATAAACTTCCACAGACGTCGCTGTTGCTGTGCCGCAGGTCTTTGCGTTTTTCTCCAGCTTGTACACAAATCTGACCTCTAGTATCCCTCTCGCTGTATTGTTCCCTCACCTCCTTCGCCCAGGTGACTGAAGTAGCCTACGTCCAATCCCACGGCCTCACCAAGGCCCTGTCCAAGCAGAAGGGAGGGGACGGTGACAGCTTATCCCCCGGTGGAGGTCTCGGCCTCCTCCCTCCCGCCCAAGAGGTGCTCCGTCTCGTCGCCAGCGCGGAGCGGGGTAGCGAGCACCCCCTTGCAAAGGTCCGTGTGTGTGTGTGCGTGTGTTTTTTCCCCTTTTTTTGTTCTTCGTGGCTGTCTTGACACACCCTGAACAACGTGTGGGCTGTCTTCGTGTCAGTTCTGTCCCAAGCGCGCGCGTTGAACGCGCCTGTGTCGCCCCACCTGTAGACTGCGCGTCTTCGGCATGAATCCGAATGACCCGGTGCCGCTGCTAGGTGCGGGCGGATTGATGCGAGTGAGTGCCTTTGTGGTGATGCAACGTCCGTCACGCGATTGGTGTGAGGGACACCGTGCTGCTGCCTTCCCCATCGCACGCGCACCGGGAAGGCTGGCCATTTGGCCACCTATCATACATCATTCACCGCGCCCCACACATCCCCCCAACCCCTGGCAACAACAAACATATGTTCCAGGCCATTGTGGAGTTCCACTCATCGGCGTTCCCCCAGGCAGAGGGGAACGATTCAGAGCACTCCCGGGCTGGTCGGCTGGAGATGCCGGAGGACGGGAGCACGACCGCGGTGTCCGGCAAGGGCCTCTCCTGCACGGTCCGAGGCCTCAAGGTAAGAACAGAGCGACCCAATCCACTGGGTCCCTACCTACCCGTGCATCTACGTTGTCGTCTTTCCGTCGTCGATTCGTATCTTTGTTGCGCGGGTGTCTCCCGTCGCAACGGCAGTCCTCTGCGTCGTGTGGGTTCGTCTCGACCCGTGACCCACTCCCCCGGATAGTTGTTCCCTTGCCGCTGTCGAGCCTTAGTGTGGTGTTTTCTGTCGCGTCTCCCGTCATCGGCCACGTTCTCTCCGGCGTGAAGTCAGGCCCCTTTGAGAGGA